TATAAATTTATGAATTTCAGGAAACAAAAAGAAAACTCGATAACTTTTTGAAAATTTCAAGAAAAATTTATGAAGTATGGATATTTTACGTTAATGATAAATACATTTGTTTTAAAAGTTTCGAAAAAAAACGAAGAAAAATGCGTTTAAAAATTTGTTCAAAAATGCACTTTTTTCATTTTTAGCTAACTGGAAATTTATGAATTATAAAAAGGAGAAGAAAAAGGAGAGGAAACTCAATAATTCTTTAAAATATTTAATAAAAATTTATTGCGTGGAAAAATAAAAAGAGAAAAAATCGACATATTTTTTAAATAGTAAGGGTATTATAATGTTTTAAAAAAATTTGTAAGTAATGAGTTACTACTGATTCTTAATGTTCATTAATTGTTGTTAAATTTCATTCATTAGCACACTTTTCCATTTTTGGCTTCTTCTCTTTCTTTGCTGCATGATTTTGCGCATAATTTAAATGACGAATAAAGTGAGATGGAAAGAAATGATCGATACATTTGACTTTTTTTTGCAAGAAGAAAAATTTTTTATTGCTTTGTAAGTGAATAGAATGTAAGTGCGGTACTTATCATGTTTATTGGATCAATAATCAACCTATATTATTTTTTTAATGGACAATTTTGATAAGTTCGTTATTTATTGGTTGCTGACTAACCTAATTACTCATATCTAATAATGAGATGGTATTTTGAAGACACTCAACCGATAATACGATTCATCAAGGAAATAAATAACCAATTTGTTAAAAATAATTCAACAAAAAATCTGACTTATGAGAGTACTAATTAAAATTGTAGTAACTTCTGCTAAAGTCAAGAATTGTAGTGTTTTTAATAGCGGTATCATATAGTCTGATGTAAATTATGAACAGAATTTAGTGAATCTTGAATACAGACAGGTAGCATAAAATCAGAGTCTAAATGAATATGAAACAATGAAGAAAAAAAAAAGACTTGAAGATTGAGCTATGATACAAAAAGCCTTAAACATGATGAAGAAAGTGTATTAGCAAAATTCATATCGATTTTTCAATTTCTCGCTTACACTTCTGATTTTACTAAGCTTGTTGATTTGGATACTATAAAGTGTCATACTTATGTGTGTAATTTTGTGTATGTGTATTTGTTTCCTTTTTTTATTGTAAATTTATTTTTTTTCCTAATCAAATTTATTCTAAATTTCAAAATAATATATCTTTCAATTTTTTTCTACAAATTATTCATGAAAATTTCATAATTTTTCATGTGGATTTAACGATTTTAAACTTCTCATTCCCTAAATGAACGCATTTATTTTGGCAGAATGAAACAAAAAAAAAATGCAAAAAAAATTACATTGAGTGAAAGATAATGTAATGCGAAGAGGTCACAAAGAATACCAAAATTCAATGAAAAATATCCAAATGTCAGATAGAGTTTGCAGGGCCTGAAACATAGAAAATATCATTGCTTTTGTGGATTCGTTAAAGATTGGTGAGATTCCTAACATTGATGCATTAGACGATAAGAGAGTAGAGAATGCACGTAGTCTGCGCTGCTATTATTGACGCACATCTTGCTAAACATTTATTTTTTGGCGTCTTCATGTTATTTTGCTTGGAGTACTTTAGCGTAAGGTGTAGTTGATGTCATGCGTGTTATGCACATACGTGCTTCAGTTTGTGTAGTTCCTAATTTTTTCTTCATACAATTTTTTTTCCTCAGCTTGTAGCTTTCTTTTGTTCTATGTAACTCTGTGAGGAGCACTTTAAGATTCGTAAATATCTTTCAGAAGCTCTTCTAAGTAACATGTTTGTATTCACGTAATTTATTACGTATCCGCGTCATGTGTAACTAACTTTGTACAGATTTATAAATAACAGATAAAATCCAGTTGAATGATATGTGATGTGGTTTATGTCGAGAAAGAAAAACACTTCAGGTTCAAGTAAGGGCCAAGAAAAGGTATGGATCAAAGTTATGTAAGTGTTGGCAGCAGATATCAAGATTTAATTTTTTTCAATTTAATTCTGAAAGATCAAAACTTATTGAATTTGAGTTTCGACAAATTAGAGTTAAAAATTTTACACAATTGAAGTTAGAGTTAAAAGAATTGAAAGAAATAAGGCTGAAAAAAAATTCAGTGAGAAAATTATTACTATTATGTTCATTTTTATTATCACCAAACAGATTACAGTTGGAATATTCATTTTTTCATTGTTGTAAACGCGAATATTTTTTAGTTATGATGTAAAACATTTATACAATTTTTAGTAATGAAAAGTGATTGATGATGAAAATAGGGAAAGTGATTAGCAATAATTTACAGTAGTAGATAGTGGGAGAAATAAGCCAGTTTTTTATACAATTGCAATACTAGCATAGCTAAGCTCATAAAGGTGCTTTGCTATCTTATATTTCATTTATACAGAAAACAAACTGAAAAATAAGAAGAAACTAGTTTACCGCTTCTAGTACAAGAAAAAATATTTCGATATAATCGAGTAAGCCCCAGACCAAACATAACTAAAATGGATCACGTTTATGATAAATACAATAACTCTAAAAGGCAGTGATTAAACGAGATTCATAGCTGAATGTCTGAATTGGGGAGAAATAAAACTTTTCTTCATAAGTGCCAAATAATAGAAAGAAAACAATGTCTCTTTAATGTCGGACTTTATTTTAAATATATTGCAAGAGAGAGAGAGAGAGAGAGAGAGAGAGAGAGGGAGGGAGAAAAACGTAAATACTTTGTAAATGCTAATTTAAATGCGATAGCAGGATAAGAACGATAAATGTGTAAATTAATTTCACTAGGCTTAACGTTTCTGTTGCAGAAATTCTCCGTTTGAAGGACGAACCATTTCTGTATTATTCATGTGAACTTATAAAAGAATGCATCGATTATCGAAAATCTCGGCTTCATTCGCTTCAAAGTATTCCACATCTTATTTCAGATCCTCATCAAATTGTGCCTATTCATTTTCATTATATGATACAGTAATTAAATTAATTTCTGTACAAATCATTTAATTAATGCAGTTCGGAGGAAATATCTGCCAGACAAGTAATTTTCAATAAATCTTTGCCTAATTACATATTACATATAAAAAATGATTTCCAGGAGAAATGACTCTACAGATAGCAATGGAGACAAAATCGACAAACGATTTTCTCGTCCAACTATTTTGCAGTTATCATATAAGGAGGAGAGCATGGATGGTATCAATGAATGCGGTAAACAAGGTAAGCTGCTGTATATACATTCGTTCTTCGATCAGTATGGTTTTGCGATTTTTTTTTTCGCTGTAAAACCGAATACAAATTAGCTGTAGTGGATGACTTTATTTTTTGTCTTTAGAAAATGTAAGTAATAAAGATATATATTCTTTAGTTTAGAATTTATTTCTCATTAATCAGTATAACATTTAGTCTTTTTTTAATTCAATGCATACAAAACCACAATATCTACGTTTTAGTCGTTTTGATCTTGACTACGGATTTTTTCCACTCGAAGATATCTGCTGACAACTTAATCCTTCTGAAAAGACAAAATCGTTAGATGGTTCTTTTCTTTTCTAAATTCTTCTAATACCATCGATTCCATCATTGATTTTTTTTTCTGGCATTCCTCCATCCATTTCCCTGATATGTTTTTCATCTTGTATCGTGCACTGCTGCATCATAGTGAGTTAAACAACTTTGTTTATTTATCTTTTTGTTTTGCCATTCTCTTCGGAATATTTACCATTTATAGCGAGAAAGTGTTATAGTGGGACAAATAGCTGTTCAGTTGTTCTTTCAATTATCAAAATACTCTGTAAGTTTGTGTAAAGCGTAAATATAGCATCTTATATGATTGCTTTACAGATTAGGGAGTTCTTATCTTCATTTGTATTGTGATAATATTGTGATAAAAGTGAGAATTCATTTGTATTGTGATAATACAGAATTACTTAAATCGGCAAATTATTTTATAATTTTAAGATGAATGGTACGAAATGGTGACCGCTGTAACACCACCCATTGATGAAATAAGAAAAACTGATCAGAAAATGAACAATGAAACCAATGATATGCTTAGAAAAACTAGTAATATGATAAATGGTCTAAATGAAATAGATCTAGAGCCCGATAATGCGGCTGAAATTGAAGTTGTAGAACAATCACTTACCACGTTGGTGGATAATTTTCGATCCGGAAGAATGTGTGCTTGTAAGTTTAGTTTATTTTTACCGAAATGTTTGACAGATAATATGTCGAAGATGGAAATAAGTCGAAAGCAGATTGCTTTCATTTCGGAATATCAGATTGATCTAGAACCAAAAAAGTGATGATTTAGAAAAACATGAATTTAATTACCTTACTACAAGTCATAAGGTGGCGACTCTTTTCGAAGGAACAACAAACAACACTGTAAAACGCTTTTCTTTCAAAGTTTAAAACTATAAAGTTGGAATTTATGGAAAAAGACTCAATTTGTTACTCATCAGGTTGTTAATCAAAATATAGTGATGGAGATACTGATCACCCTTACCAATTTCCTCGTAAGATTAGAACTGCCTATTAAATTAAAAATAACAACAGATTAGAGAAATAATTGTGCTATTTGATGTTTGATGCTATTTGACGTTTCTCGGCTTCTTTTTAATGTAATTTTTTTTTCTAGTGGACGAGGAAAAATTGAAAATGATGCGGAAAGCAAGAGAAAAAATGGAAAATTTGACTGCATTCCATGTCAAATTGCATAAAATACAGGCCCCAAATTTCTCCACTTTCAGGTTGCTTTTTTTCAATCATCAAATATTACCACAGCGAAGATATTATTGATTATTTAAAATTTCTTTTATAGTGATAATGGTCAACTTGATGAACAGTACGATTTGCTTTTTCGAAAGCTTGATAAGTTGCACTGCTTTTTGTTAGTTTTTGTTGCTTCATTAAACTTGTTTTATAAAATGCTCAAACTACAGCATCTGTTACTATTACAGCTACATTGCTACTACAGCTATCACTGCAGCTGTTCCTGTTCAATTTCAATAACACTGACTTTTTCAAGATGGATGTTTAAATGATGTTGAAACTTTTCGAGATCTGGGCCAATATCTGAAACTGAAAACGGAAAATTCGATATTTTCATAAAATTCTGTATGTGGAATCTAAATTCTACTTATTTATGGTAGCGCATTTCAGATATGATATGTCTTTCCGTGCAACCGATGTAAAAGAAGAAGAGAGAATGGCTGATACTTTTACCGAGGAAAAGAACAGGGAAGTGATAAGAGAGCAGTCGTAATCAGGTTGGAATAATTTGTTAGATTTTGATAAGTTTGTTTATTTTCTTTTCGGGAATTGCTTCCCGGTACTTTCGTGACATGGGTGTGCAATCGTTATCTAGGAGATTCTGTTGTTCAAATAAGTTTATAGCGATATAAGGGATCTCTTGCTGTATTCATATCAAAAATTTGCTTTTAAATAATAAATGCTTTTTTACATATAATGCATAAATTTTACTCTTTCTGTATTACTTAGTTTTTTTGTTGATTTTGATTTGAAATTCTGCTTTTTCTTTCACTGAAATAAACTTTAAGATTGGGAACATTTGCTTGAACATATACGTTTCTTTTTCGAAATGGTTTAATATCAGTAATTGAGACGGGATAATTGTTTGTTATAATAATACTGATAAATAATTACAAGTTGCTAATGGGAAAGGCCGAAAAAGGTCTATTGCGAACTGTCCATGCATGATCATTGTCGTTTTTATAATATATGTTTTGCTTGAAACGTTCAATTTATTTGTAAACGAATAAACATTATATTACTACTTGTGACCCAGTACATTTAATAGAGATGGTTCTTGTATCTTTTTTTTTACTAAAACCATAGTAATTTTATTTTTTTGCATAATTTTAAAAAGTCAAAATAATGTCGCGAAATTTCAAGAATACTATAAATGGTCAAGTGTTTATATATATATATATATACATAGATGTAATGTTACTGTCTTAATACATGTTCATAGCGTCAATTATAATGTGCCCGTTTAAACCAATAGTACAGTTAAACGATTCATTCTGTAGTTGCATATGCGTTCCCATCCTTGCCTCCAATTATTGTACTACATGATCTCCCTTGCTCTTATATCCTCCAATATCTCTCCTTATTTTCCCGCGTTATGATACGCACGTATACATTGCCTATATAAGACAAATCATCAAATCATTATTCATTCATTCATTCGTTCTTCCTTTGGGATTATGCGTTTGGTTCATTTCTGCGCTTATTTCATGTATTAATATTGCGTTTCTATTATTGATATGGGTTTAATTACTCAAGTTTGAGTGGGTTTCACTCGCAATAAAGTACAGTTCAACGCGTGTCTTCACATCGTTCTTCTGCTACAACCAACTACGTTGAAATAAGACTCAACTCTTATTTCATAATCAAAGGACCAACATTTTAACGAAAACGGAATTGCAATCTCTCTACTGAATACCTCATAAGAATCTATTAGAATAAAGCTAACAAAAAAGAACTTTCACGACAAATAATGAGTTCACAGGGTAACAACTATGGGGGTACTATAATTTTACCATATTGAGGAAATGTTAGCGCAGATGTAGCTTCTCGAAATGCAATTAAATCTGTTCTTTCAAAATTGATTATAGACACTTCT